GTCTCGAACTCCTGAGCTCAAGTGATCCTCCCACCTCAGCTTCCGAGAGTGCTGGAATTACAGACATGAGCCACAGTGCCTGGCCGTGTTCTAATTTCTAATACTGGTAGTTTTAGATGTAAGGATACCAGCACTCATCATCACCACCATTAGCACATCCTTTGTTGTTTTTCTTTATTTCTTATGACCTTTGCTCTTTAGCAGCTCTTATCCTCTATTTCCAATTTGGTAAAAGAGACTACTTCTGTGACTTCCACTCACAATCCAAAGACTGGCTCCACACCCTCCTCTCGTCTCTAGGCACTAGTTACTCCCACCCAACAGGAGCTCAGTGCATTTGAAAGTAGAGTTTTCTCTCTGGTCTCTTACATGACTTGTCCATTCTCATGCTGGAAGAGAGCCACTGGGAGTGGCAGGTGGACACATGTCATGTTCTCTGAGCACCATTCTCTCCCTGCCTGTGTAAGTGATACCTGGATCTTGTGACCACAGGCAGCTCATGCTCTTGAGGGCATCTGAGGCCTTCCTTTTCTGAGAAAGTCCATCAGGGAGAGGGCAGTGTGTGGGTTTTCATGGAAAACTTCTGGTAAAGGATTCCTGCTACAGTTTCCCTACATAACAAGATAATTGGAGAGAAGCCAAGGAGAAACAGATGTCCAATTTAGAAATATCAAAAATTCTGATTGGCAAAATTAAGTGTAACAAAGACAATACTTCATGAATTAATATGTTAAATTAATTTACTTTAAATGTATATTAAATATTTAATTTAAATGTATATTAAAGATCTTCTAGTGACATTTAAATAATTGAACAACTTGATCTTGAAAATAAATCCAGACATATAAGCAAACAAAACTTTATTTTTTAAGTAGTGGTAGAATCCTATTATCAGGTTTTTTTTGTTTTTTTTTTTGAGACAGAGCCTCAAGCTGTTGCCCTGGGTAGAGTGCCGTGGCATCACAGCTCACAGCAACCTCCAACTCTTGGGCTCAAGCGAGTCTCCTGCCTCCGCCTCCCAAGTAGCTGGGGACCACAGGTGCCCGCCACAACGCCCGGCTATTTTTTGGTTGCAGCCATTATTGTTGTTTGGCGGGTCCGGGCTGGATTCGAACCCACCACCTTAGGTGTAGGTGGCTGGCGCCTTAGCCGGTTGAGCTATAGGCACTGAGCCAGGTTTTTTTTTTAAATGATGATCAAATATGTATCATAGTATGGTTATTTCATAAAGCTGTTATAAGAACTTTATATATAACAAACTAGAATTAGTAGTAGAAGACAATCTAGAGAAGAAAATATGTACTTAAGAATTGATATTGGGTTATCCAAGAATGGTATGGAAAAAAGTGAAATTAGATTCATGACTCCTTACAATCTATAGTGTGGCATTAGACATTTCAAAAATAACTTCCAAAAGTAGAAGACAATGAACTATTAGGGAAAACAGACTAATATGTAATATTAGCAGTAGACTAATATTACATTAGAATATAAAGTATGTCACCATGATATAGATCTGTCTATATTTAAATAAATAACACTGATAGAACAATATGATAAAATAAATATCAAGAGGAAAAGAACAAAATGAAAAGTTGAACACATTTATTGCCCCTAATGTGTTGAGAACTGTTGTTAGTATAGATACTCTGCTTTCACTCCACAGTGGTTGAGGAAGATTAAAAATCTACACAAAAGGAAACCCTGTCCAATTTAAATGTGAAATGTTCACAGTTTCATAGCAATGAAAAAAATACAAATTAGGACTCATTAAATGGCAGAAATGCCTAAAAAGATGTTTTTAATTTTTTTCCTGTCTTTTTTTTTTTAGAGGCTAGATTATAGTGGTGTCATCATAGCTCAAAGCATCTCAAACTCCTGAGCTCAAGCAATCCTCCTGCTTCAGCCTCCTGAGTAGCTGGGACTATAGGTGTCCACCATCATGCCAAGCAAACATTTCGTTTTGGTTTTTTTTTTTTGGTATCATCCAGGCTTTATTTTTCCATTTACAGAGCACAGCAAAGTAGATTTAACATAATTCTTTTTTTTTTAATTGAATGGTAACTATGTACATTAATGCACTTCTGGGGCACAGTGTGGGGTTTCCACATGCAATCCGAAATACTTCCATCAAACTGGTCAACACAGCCTTCATGTCATTTTCTGAGTTATTGTTTTAAAACGTTCACATTCTACTCTTAGAAAGATTCACTTGTACCCCTATAAGATAAACCTCAGAAGTGATCCCTCCAAACCCCCTCCCTCCACCCATGCCCCCCTCCCTTCTCCCTCCCTCCTCCCCATATTCTTAGGCTATTTGGTTATAGCTTTCATATAAAAGGTATAAATTAGTTTCATAATAGGGGTGTGTACATTGGATACTTTTTCCTCCATTCTTGTGATACTTTGCTCAGAAGAACATTCTGCAGCTCCATCCATGTGAACATGAAGGATGTAAAGTCTCCATCCTTCTTAATGGCTGCAACATTTCATTTTTATACAGATTTGGTCTCATCATGATTCATTATGTTGCTCAGGCTGGTCTCAGACTCCTGGCCTCAAGTGATCCTACCACTCCAGCCTTCCAACCATGAACCACTGTGTCCAGCAAAGATGGATTTTTTTTTTTTTTTAAGCCAGTGTTGCAGGAGGGTCTCGGAGAATCAAAAGCCCATCTACATTACTATTTCTGATGAGCAATTGTCAATACGTAGCAGGAGCTATACCACTTTGAAAAACTTTAACCTGTCCATTCCATCATGGGAATATATGAGAAAAAAAAAATTAAAGGAGAAAATGAAATTTGTGCGTTTACATAGCAGCATTATTTTTCATAATAAAAATAAGATACAATTCTAACACACAATTAAAAGGAAAATAGTTTAAGCAATTGTTCTGTAGTAACAGGATGGAATATACTATTATAATTAAAATGATGAATATGTGGATTATGTTGATGGTGGAAATCTATATATGAAGCTGTGAAAAATAAGGCTGAACAAGCAACAAATACATGGAACTGTAAGGTCCTTGGAGATGAGTTGTGTCTTACTTATACTGAATCCATAGGGTTACACTTAGTTCTTGGTACACAATAAATGCTCCACAAGTGTTTGTTGAATGAATGCACACATGGCAATGGCTTTTCTAATCATCTATCTTGAGTTCTTAATCTCCTGCCTGCTCTGACCTCTGGTGACTTTGCACTAGTTCCTAGTTTCATTTAACTCACCTGGATTTCCAAACTCTCCCCTGTCTTGAATTAAACACATACCCTCTGTGGTCCTGGCACCCAACAAGTGAGTGACCTCTGTTCTACTGAAGTTTCCAGACCCAGGGTGACACAAAGCTGAAGCTCAAAAACCACCTAACATGATATCTGCTTTCATTGGCAAGCATCAGAAAGCTTGTGGGGGAAAAAAGAACAAACTGTCAAATACACAAATGAACATTGAGAAACATGGGAAGAGAGTTAAGTAAGGAGTGGTATTATTAAAAATGATTATATAAAACTGGCTTAAAAAAAGAGTTAAGGAAAATTAAAGCTCATAGTAAAGAGAAAGAGAGAGAGAGAGAGAGAGACAGTGTCTCAGTGTGCCACCCTCAGTAGAGTGCCATGGCGTCACACCTCACAGCAACCTCAAATTCTTGGGCTTAAGCTATTCTCTTGCCTCAGCCTCCCAAGTAACTGGGACTACAGGCACCCGCCACAACGCCCAGCTATTTTTGTTGTTGTTATTGTCTTTGCTATTTAGCAGGCCCAGGCCGGGTTTGAGCCCACCAGCCCCAGTGTCTCCGGCCCGCGCCCTAACCACTGAACTACGGGTCAACATATTAAAGAATTATTTGCAATCAATTTCCTGAGATAAGTAGTGCTTCTCCAGATACCTATTAAAAAGAGACAAATACAACTATGGGAGGCTGAGGCGGGTGGATTGCCTGAGCTCGCAGGTTTGAGACCAGCCTGAGCAAGAGCGAGACCTTGTCTCTAAAAAATAGTCAGGCATTGTGGCGGGCGCCTGTAGTCCCAGCTGTTTGGGAGGCTGAGGCAAGAGAATTGTGAATCGCTTGAGCCCAGGCGTGTGAAGTTTTGGTGAGCTCTAACACCAAAGTGAGACTCTGTCTCAAAAAAAAAAAAAAAAAAAAAAAAGACAAATACAACCAGAAGGCTGACAGAGTGACCCTTAAGAAGGTGCCCAGAACATGTGCTGAAATTCTGTTGAGAGTTAAGAGTGTCTAATTAGGGCGTTTAGGGGCATACAGAAGAGGCGGTCCATAACGTATGAGACGCATTAGGGGCTTCTAAAAGAAGTCTCCTGTATCTTATAGTCATCAGGCTGTGTGCCATAACGTGCAGTCTGACCTAACAGAAAAGCAAAATGCACGCGATACCTTTTGCCAAAGGAAGTAGAAATTAACCTAGCGGCCCCTTGCACCCGGCGTTTCCTGGTGGCACCATGTGCCAGGCACATAAGTATTTATTTGAGAACACAATGAATAACTGAATCCATGACTGAATTGAAGGAGACAGCAGGTTGCCAGATTACATGAGGCAATCACAGCATCAAGTGGCGTTAGTATCTCTTTAGGAGGACTGTAATTTATTTGGGGGAGCTCAGTGGAAGAAAAAAGAAAACAGCCTGAAATCCCCAGGCCCGCAGCGTAGGCCTGAGGTTGAAGTAAGCCCTGCCCGCGGCGGCGGGTCCCGTGTCTGTCCCCAGGTCGGCCCCTGCCTAAGCCTCCGTGTGCTATAAATACAGCGGCGCACATGCTACTGCAGAGACACGATGTTCCCTCTGCTCCTCGGGACAGATAACATGAATTTGCCCTTTAAACGTCCCTAGCAGAGCACAGCCCCCAGCCCACCCCTGCCTCCCGGAAGCGCCTGCGCCCCTGATGCCCTCCGCGGAGTGGGTGGAGGCAGGACCAGGGGGCACCTGCTGACCAATGCGCAGCGCGCGCGCCGCCTGGCCCCGCCTCCTCTCGCGAGACGCGGAGAGGGGCATAAAAGGGGGGTGTTGCGAGCGCGGCGGGCGGCCCCTCCGCAGCGCGCAGGGACCGGCACCGGGCGGCGGCGCCTGGCCGGGCGAGGGCGAGAGCGCGGCGCGGCGTGGGCTCAGTCTATCTGGCCGTCACCATGGGTGATCAAGCTTTGAGCTTCCTGAAGGACTTCCTGGCAGGTGGCATCGCCGCTGCCGTCTCCAAGACCGCGGTCGCCCCCATCGAGAGGGTCAAATTGCTGCTGCAGGTGAGCGCGGGCGGCGCGCGGTCAAGCGGGCACGGCGGGCAGGGTGCGGGCTGCGCGCGGGCGGCTGGGTGTGGGGCACGGGCGCCGCGGGCAACCTGCGCCAGGTTTCGGGCCCGCGCCCGGCCTGCGCCGAGGGGAAGGTGCCCTCTGTGCAGACAGGTCCCGCGTCAATTGCAGATTCCTGGTGTCGGGTGGCGCCCAGCGTTGGGGTGTCTATATATGGAAACCCATCCCGAACCGGGTAGCTTGCGAGCCAGCTCCTGCGCCCATGACCGCACCGGCCCTCCACTTAGGCCTGCTAGCCGGCCTCGCCTTGTTGATTTTCCAGAGCCCTTGCACCTTCTTACCTGAATTCATCTTTTACTATAATAATAATAAAATAAAATAATTACTCAAGAGCTCGCTGTCACCCACGCACCGCGCTGTGTAGGCTGACATATTTCATTCATCTTTATATAACCCCAGGATGGTAGATGAAGCTGAAAGGTTTTGAGAGATTAAGGAAAAATTTTCAGAATAAACTCAAATCACCTTATTTATACTGTCCCCCATTTTTTTTCCTACCCTGTCTGATCACTTAATGGCTTATCATCATCTCTCCTGTCCTGTTTTTCTGCACCTGCCCAAAAGGTTAGGGCCCCTCAATCATGAAAAGCCTGATTCATAGTCAAAAAATTATCAGCAACAGAAACCTCAATAAATTGCTCACAACAGCAGCAGCTCCTCTGCAATCAATAATTTGGATAATCTGCTGGAAAACTGGTGGGAGAGCTCTACCGCCTAGTGGATTTTTTCTTCCTGTTAGAGCATGTAGCAGCGATCCTCATTTCCAGGGAGACCAGAGTGACGGGAGGAATTGTTATCTCCCACTTACCAAATCAAGGAGCCCTTTGGGGCAGGGACCTTTATTCATTTCTCTTCCCCAGTAAGCCCCTAGCATAGTCCTTGAACCTAGAGAAAATGCAGTAAAAGAATGGCTGTCTTTATGCTATTCAGTCACCTCTTTTTCAACTTATTTGGGGCAGAAACGTTTTTCTTGAATGCCCTGCTAATTGAGGGAAGATTGGATCATTTTGGCTTATTATCCAAGTAACTAACATTTACATTTCGTCAATATACCTTTAATTTCCTCATATTCCCCCCCCCCACCACCACTTCAAAAGGAAATTTAGGAAGTGCAAACCTTTTTCTTCTGTCCTCTTCCCTTCTCCTTGCCCTGCCTGTCCTCTGTCCCTACCCCGACGCCAGGTCCAGCATGCCAGCAAACAGATCAGTGCTGAGAAGCAGTACAAAGGGATCATTGATTGCGTGGTGAGAATCCCCAAGGAACAGGGCTTTCTCTCCTTCTGGAGGGGTAACCTGGCCAACGTGATCCGCTACTTCCCTACCCAAGCTCTCAACTTCGCCTTCAAGGACAAGTACAAGCAGATCTTCCTGGGGGGCGTGGATCGGCATAAGCAGTTCTGGCGCTACTTTGCTGGTAACCTGGCTTCCGGTGGGGCAGCCGGGGCCACCTCCCTTTGCTTTGTCTACCCGTTGGACTTTGCTAGGACCAGGTTGGCTGCTGATGTGGGCAAGGGCGCCGCCCAGCGTGAGTTCACTGGTCTGGGCAACTGTATCACCAAGATCTTCAAGTCTGATGGCCTTAAGGGTCTTTACCAGGGTTTCAGCGTCTCTGTCCAGGGCATCATTATCTACAGGGCTGCCTACTTCGGTGTCTATGATACTGCCAAAGGTGAGGGTCTGGGGGGTGTGGAGGGAGGGTCCTGTGGCATCTGTAACTCACAAAGGACTTTATTAATCTTGCTTTTTTCCTAGTTTCTGGGCTAAACCAAGGCTTCTGAATGAGGAAGTGATACTGTGTGGATAAATTAATAGTTAAAAGAATCTGTATGTCCTCTACTGAAATAAACTAACCTGCAGTTAGTTACTCACAGAGAAGGAGGCAGAGCCTAGCTCCCTCTTGACAGAGCTGTCTCAGTTACTGGAAGCTGCTTTAGCATGCACTATATGCTGAACACTGGCCCCCCTAGATCTAGAGGGGGCAGCAACCAACTTTTATTGGCTGCCTGGTTGCCAGTGAGGCATCCCCACAAGTGTGGGTTCTTCTGGAAGGGCGGGGTGTGGGATGGGTATGTGCAGTGTCCTCTCCTCCCAGCCACCTGCTTTTCTGCTGAGCTGCTGAGAGAATCAGTTCACAGTCATTTGGCTTCTTGCCTCTGCCCACAGGGATGTTGCCTGACCCCAAGAATGTGCACATTTTTGTGAGCTGGATGATTGCTCAGAGCGTGACAGCGGTGGCTGGGCTGGTATCCTACCCTTTTGACACTGTTCGTCGTAGGATGATGATGCAGTCTGGCCGGAAAGGGGGTAAGCCTGAATTCTGCTAACCTAAATCTTCCTTATCCTTCACCAAAGGAGAACACTATTCAGTCCTCATTAGTCTAAATTCTTTGTTACTTTAAATTGTCAAAATTATTTGATAAGGACTTAGGGAAAAAAGATGTTAATTATCCTTAATATTCTCTATTCCTTTAGGGAAAATAATTTTTTCTTTTTAGAAGAGAATTTCACATGGTATCTAGCATTATGTTGACCTTAAGCCCTCTTCCCCTAAGAAAGCAGTTCTCAACCTGTGGGTCACAACCCCTTTGGGAGTTGAACGACCTTGTCACAGGGGTCGCCTAAGACCATCCTACATATCAGATATTTACATTACAATTCATAACAGTAACAAAATTACAGTTATGAAGTAGCAACAAAAATAATTTTATAGTTGGGGTCACCACAACATGAGGAACTGTATTAAAGGGTTGCGGCATTAGGAAGGTTGAAGTAAGGGGGAAGTAGTAGTTAACTATTTAAAAAGAACTCTTAGGCCAGCCTCAGTGGCTGACACTTGTAATCCTAGCACTCTGAGAAGCTGAGGAGGAGGCAGGTGGACTGCTTGAGTTCAGTTCTAGACCAGTCCGAGCAAGAGCAAGAGCCTGTCTTTACTAAAAATAAAAAAAACTAGCTGGGCATAGTGGTGGGTGCCTATAGTCCCAGCAACTCAGGAGGCTGAGACAGGAGGATCACTTGAGCTTAAGAGTTTGAGGTTGCTGTAAGCTATGACATCGTGGCACTCTACCCAGGATGTCAGAGTGAGAAGAGTCTCAAAAAATAAATAAAATAAATAAATAAAAATAAAAAAATAAAGAAAAACTTACTTTGCTTCCCTTAGCTAATTATTACAAGTGTTAGGGGAAGGAGGTGTTTAGCTGGGTGAGAGATGGCCTGAGAGAAAAAAACTTTGGCTTCTACAAGTTGAAACACATGAAATTGCCATTTTCTCAAGCCCTCCAAACAGTCAAATGTTAGCAGTTTCAGAGGGTTCCACCAAATAGTTACACCTTTTTATTTTAACTGGGTAAGACTGGGCAGTGCCATCCGAGACCAGGCCTCACTTTTTGTGTCCATAAAGAAGGTGACCATGCATAAAGAAGGTGACCATGCATAAGCATAATACTCTGGCTTCCCTCCCCCCACTTCCTGTTGATAGCTGGACAGTCTATGAATTGCTTGGTTAATAGCCCCACTGCTTCAGTGACCTTGGAGGGGCTGTCCAGTTGAATGATGCACAGAGCTGGGGCTCAATGCCCAAGTGATCTTAATTTTAGGACACTGGTAACACTGTGTCTTTCAGAGGAAAAGTGCCTTTCCTCTGGTGGTATGGAGCCCTCACCAACATTTGTTTCCACAGCTGATATCATGTACACGGGGACAGTTGACTGCTGGAGGAAGATCGCAAAAGATGAAGGAGCCAAGGCCTTCTTCAAGGGTGCCTGGTCCAATGTGCTGAGAGGCATGGGTGGTGCTTTTGTATTGGTATTGTATGATGAGATCAAAAAATATGTCTAATTGTAATTAAAACACAAGTTCATGGATGCGCAGCGAACTTGATCCATAAATTCACAGATCCATTGTGTGGTTTAATAGACTATTCCTAGGGGAGGTAAAAAGACAGATCTGGGATAGAACCAAATCGAAAGGAATACCTCAGAAAAAAATGCTTCATTGAGTGTTCATTAAACCACAAATGTATTTTGTATTTATTTTACATTTAAATTCCCACAGCAACGAGAAAGTAACTTATCATACTTAACTGAAGAACTGATAATGAAAAAATAACTGAATTTGAAACACCAATAAACACTATTAATGCATGTTCTCTATTTTATTAGACTCTTATTAACTGCTGAATGCATTAAAAAAGACCATAAATGCATATTTTTTTAAACCTTTTTCCTGAAGTACAGCCTTAAAAAGTTTTAACTTTTTTTTCATAAATGCATGTTTTCTAAGCATGACTCACTTACCAATTAGTGACTAAGCTTCTAAATGTCTGATGTTATACTGATTCTGTATTAATGAGTGCCTACAATGGTTAAAGTTCTGATTTTCAAACTTAAGTCCTGCACTCTCTTTTATCTTCTCTCACCCAGTGTCGCTGGAGGCCTGAAAGTGGTAACATGGAATGTGACTTTCATAGTCCCACTTTATTTTATGTACTTTTGTGCAGTCTCTAAGAATTCTTGAGATTACACTAAAAGCTTTAAATTCAAGAATTTTGCATGATTAGTGCTCTGTTTTAGTCCTAGAAGTTTGTGATAGTAGACAATGTTTATGGAAAATCAGTGTTCAGGCTGCTGTAACGAAGTGCCATAGACTGTTTAGCAACAGACACTTATTTCTTACAGTTCTGTAGGTTGGAGGTCCAAAACTAGGATGTCACTATGGTCAGGTTCTGGTGAGGGCCATCTTCTGGTGCAGACTATTGACTTCTCCTTCTGTCCTCACATGGTGAGAAGAGAGAGACCTCTCTGGGATCCCTTTGATAAGGGCACTAATCCCATTCATGAGGGCTCACCCTCATGAGCTAATCACCTTTCCAAAGGCCCCACTTCCAAAGAGTACCACACCAGCCTGAGCAAAAGACAGACCCCTTCTCAACTAAAAACAGTACAACTAGCCAGGTATAGTAGCAAGGCGCCTGTACTCCCAATTACTTGGGAGGCTAAGGCCAGAGGATTGCATGTACCCTAATTTTGAGGTTGCTGTGAGCTATGATGCCATAGCACTCTACCTAGGGCAACAGTGAGACTCTGTCTCTAAAAACCAAACCAAATCAAACCAAACAAAACAAAAGCAACAAAAACTAAATAGCACCACATGGGGGCAAGGATTTCCACATAAGAATATTAGAGGGACATAAACATTCAGTCCATGACATCAGTTATAAAGCCAGTATTTAACACCTATTCGGCTCTGTGAAAGATAGGAAAAAACAGGAATCTGCCTTGAAAGATGAAGCTTACATGGGAGAGAGGATGAAATGGCCTTGTTAAATAAATTAATGTTTACCACAGTAAATCACAGTTAAGAAGGAATCAGGGAAATGAAACGAGGGGATTGGTAGGAGGTGGACTTGGAAACAAAGAAAATAACCAGACTTGGATACATGGGTACAAAAGTATCTGCCAATATGTCTTTTCTGTAATAATTCATGAAACCTACCAGAACACTCTGTGATTTGTAAGCAAGTGGGATATATTTAAAAATTAAAGTTGGTAATTAAGGATTTTTGCACTAGGAAAAAGCAAACATGTTGATAAGTGTCCTGGCTTGCTGTGACCGATAGGGAGGAAACAAGTCCCTCTCTCCCTAGCAAAGACAAGGCGGCAGGCAGATGGCATTTGTGTTTTCCAACAGGTGGCAGGGTAGGAGGGGTCAGGGTCTCTGTACCTGTGTTCGTCACTGTATTCACTCTTGCCTCTCCAGCATAAAATTGGCTGCACTCCTACCACAATAACCCAGATCTGGTTTTCCCAAGTCCAAGCTTCCATCTAACCTCACCTGGCATATATCTGGGCCAATGGAAAAGGTCAAAGGGCCACAAAGGTCTCCCCTCTCTCCCTCCCTCTATCATCTCCTGGCTCCTCAAGGCCAAGTGGCAGCCTTGTGCTATGGAGGCCACCTGGGTCCACTGTCCTCATATTGCTTTTCATTTTTAAGGATGATGTGAATGATCCACATTCGGTTGCTGATAGAAAATAAAAGTAGGGCAGCCTAGTGCAGCAGATACTTGCACAGAGCGTACTTAAAAGTAGGGCCAGCACTTCCAGGATTTCAAACCTGAGAGTTTAGGGGGAGGGGAAGAATAGACATCAATGAATAGTAGGTCCTCCCAGCCCAACCAAAACCATCACTGTCTTCTAGCTTTAACTCTGTCCTCCTGGCATGGGCTATGGAAGGGAGAAGGGGAACTGATTTATGAAACAGTGTGCATTGTCTTCATTCTGCCTGCCTGTGCATGGTCCAGCTGGCGGCCTCCCCCCATCCTGGTGCTCTCTAGTCTCAAGAGCCCTGCAGAATCAGTTCCTCACTACAGAAGCTTTATTCACCAGGAATTCCTAGAAGTCCAGGCCTCTGACAGAGGTGGCCAACTGGTAGGGGTGGGCAAGATTTCTCTCACCATCCTACCCTCGTGATCCTCAGACCACATCAACACCCTGCAAAGCTATGTCATGCTCGAGGGCCTGAAAAAGTGCTTCAAAGTCGGGTTTATGGCTGGATGCTGCATACCTGTAATCCTAGCACTCTGGTAGGCTGAGACAGGAGGATCTGTTGAGCTCTGGAGTTCAAGAACAGCCTGAGCAAGAGTAAGACCCTATCTTGACTAAAAATAGAAAAACTAGCTGGGTGTGGTGGTGGGCACCTATAGTCCCACCTACTGAGGAAGCTGAGGCAAGAGAATCGCTTGAGCCCAGGAGTTTGAGGTTGCTGTGAGCTGTGATGCCATGGTACTCTACCCAGGGTGACAGAGTGGGACTCTGTCTAAAAAAAGAAAAAGGAAGACATTTAACCCGATGAAAAAATAGCACAGTAAGTGCTTATTTTGTAAAAAAAACCATGAAAGTATTCAATCTACTTATTAGACTAATGCAATTAAAAACATGAGGTAATTACATATCCACCCAAATTGTTAAACTTTAATAAAATGACTGAATAGGCTGGGTGCAGTGGCTCACACTGTAATCCCAGCACTCTAGGAGGCCGAGGTGGGTCAGTTGCTTGAGCTCAGGAGTTTAAGACCAGCCTTGGCAAAAGTGAGACCCTGTCTCTACTAATAATTAGAAAAAAAGCTAGCCAGACGTGGTGGTGGGCACCTATAGTCCCAGCTACTTGGGAGGCTGAGGCAGGAGGACTGCTGAGCCCAGAAGTTTAAGGTTGTATTATGAGCTAGGCTGAGGCCATGGCATTCTACCCGGGGCAGCAGAGTGAGACTTTGTCTTGAGAAAAAAAAGAAATATATTAAAAATTAGAAAAATAAGGTCAGACATGGTGGCTCACACCTGTAATCCTAGCACTCTGGAAAGCTGAGGCAGGCGGATGGTCTGAGCTCTCAGGTTTGAGACCAGCCTGAGCGAGAGTGAGACCTCATCTCTAAAAATAGCTGGGCGTTGTGGTGGGCGCCTGCAGTCCCAGCTACTCGGGAGGCTAAGGCAAGAGAGTCACTTGAACCCAAGAGTTTGAGGTTGCTGTGAACTATGATGCCACAGCACTTTACCAAGGGTGACAAAGTGAGACTGTCTCAAAAAAAAAGAAAAAGGAAGAAATGTTTAGAATTAAAGCTAAAAGAGAAAAAGGAAAAAAAAAGAATAGATACTGATGAGGACATGGAGCAACAGAAACTAACACGCTTGCTCTGGACAACTCTGGTGTTACCTACTAAACACAAGCATACTCTACAACCCAGCAACCACACTCCTGGGTATGTGCCCAACCAAAATGCACATATGGTCAACCAAGGTAACATCTACAAAAATCTTCATGTTACCATTTGTAATAGTCAAAACCTGGAAACCACCCATAATGTCCATCAACTGCAGAATAGAAAAACAAATTATGGTATAATCAAGCATTAGAATACCATATAAACATGAAAAGAATGAATTAGTTACATGCAGCAATATAAAAGACTGAGCCAAGTGGTCAAACTGAGTATAATCCCATTTATATGAAGCTCAAAAACTACACTAAAGTATTAAAAGTTAAGAGAATAGTTACCTTTTTTGCAGGGGGGAAGGAAGCTCCTGAATTGTGGCAGTATTTCCAGTCTTGACCTGGTCAGTAGTGACCCAGATGTCTCCTTTGTGGTGATTTATGAATTGTGCATTTATGCTTTGTACCCCTTTCTGTATTTCTGTAATACAGTTAATAGTTAACAACAAAACCCAGTATCTATGAAATGTTATTTTCTTGTGGATACTCATCTAAGACCAAGCCTCTCTCATATTCCCCCAAATATAGATAGTAGAACCTCTGTAAGATGACCACCCAAGAGACTGGAACAAACTGGTCAACAAATGGAGGTGGTCTACATAAGGAACTAGGTGTATATGTGGTGCATGCCCAGTCTATGAAAATAGGTCAAACTGAGGTGGTCAATGTAGGGAGGTGGTCAACTTATGGAGGTTCTGCTATAAGAATTTAGAACCACAGATTTTAATTATTTTTTGATGATTTTCCAAATTCTTTTATGATCTCATACTAGTAAATGTTAAATTACATTCATATGAAAAAACCCTCTATCTCATTAAATTATAGTAAAATAATGTCAGGTTACTCATGAGTGTCAAATAAAATTTAGAGTTTTATTTTGTAAATAAGTAAAACCTTAATAAGGTCATCTATAACAAGTAGTGCAATCTACTTGAACTTACCAAAAGGACTGAAATAGAAGCATACAATTATTAGGGCCAGGCACAGCAGCTCATGCCAGTAATCCTAGCACTCTAAGAGGCAGAGGCAGGTGGATCCCTTGAGCTCAGGAGTTCCAGATGAACTTGAGCAAGAGCAAAACCCCATCTCTACTAAAAACAGAAAAACTAGATAGGTGTGATGGTGAGTGCCTATAATCCTAGCTACTCCGGAGGCTGAGGCAAGAGGATTGCTTAAGCCCACGAGTTTGAGGTTACTATGAGCTGTGTTGCCATGGCACTCTACCTAGGGCAACAGAATGAGACTCCGTCTCAAAAATAAATAAATAAAGCATATAAGATTAAAAGTCCTGTGGTAAGTCTAGAAATGTCCCTAAGTGGATTAAAAAACCATCAGCACAATTTAAAAATCAAATACAGTTTTCTGCCACAATATAATTCTACTCCCCCTAAGAATTCTTTAACTTTGTAGCTCAGATTGCTACTACCGGAGCAACTCACGATTTATTCCAATGGCATTATTTTTATTAAACTCTTATAAGAAATTACTAAATTGATGTTTAAGCCACAAGTTTCAAAAAGAATATATTACTGGCTGGGTGCAGTGGCTCACACTTGTAATCCCAGCAGTCTGAGAGGCCAAGGCAGGTGGATCGCCTGAGCTCACAGGCTGGAGACCAGCGTGAGCAAGAGCGAGACCCCGTTGGGAAAAGGAAAAAAAAAAAAAAAAAGAAATAGCCGGGTGTTGTGGCAGCACCTGTAGTCCCAGCTACTTGGGATGCTGAGGCAAGAGAATGGCTTAAGCCCAAGAGTTTGAGGTTGCTGTGAGCTATCACACCACAGCACTCTACCAAGGGCCACAAAGTGAGACTCTGTCTCCAAAAAAAAAAAAAAAAGTATTATTCATAGTATACATAACACATGAGAAATGGAGATGTGCACAGTTACTTCTAAAAACATTCCTTTAGGCTCTATAAGTGTCTATTTTACTGTAGCACTGTATAATTTTATACAAGGAATAGATGATGTAGTTTAAAGAAATGCTAGTCAAGGATGTAATTTTAAGCAAACTCTTTTTTCTTTCTTTTTTTTTTTTGAGGCAGAGTCTCAAGCTGTCGCCCTGGGTAGAATGCTGTAGTGTCAGAGCTCACAGTAACCTCCAACTCAGGCTCAAGCAATCCTCTTGCCCTCAGTTTTTCTATTTTTAGTAGAGACAGGGTCTTACTTTTGTTCAGGCTTGTCTTGAACTTGTGAGCTCAAGCAATCCACCCACCTCGGCCTCCCAGAGTGCTAGGATTATAGGGGTACAGGCATGAGCCACTGCGCCTGGCCTTAAGTAAACTCTTTTCCACATAAAAATTATATTTTCAAAGATATAAAGAACTGATACCCTTTTCTCAACTTCATTCTTATAAGGCACATAAGTGTTATCATTCTAATTCTCAAAATGGAAATATGACAATGCAGTTTATGGATAAACAGAACCCAAACTCAGTTATCTTTGATTCCTTTATTTCTTTCCTCACTATGCCAAGCCAGTTCTTCATGCCTAAAATACATTCTTATATTAGACTAGAAAACTCTGAAAGGGTGTTGATTTTTTAAGTTTTTTACTAGGCTTTATTCATAGAAATAAAGTAGGGCCAGGCAAGGTGGCTCATGCCTGTAATCCCAGCACTTGGGAGGCGAGGCGAGGCCAGTGGACTGCTTGAGCCAGAGCGAGACCCCATCTCTAAGCATAGCCAGGTGTTGAGGTGGGTGCCTGTAGTTCCAGCTACTCCGGAGGCAAGAGAACTGCTTGAGCCCAGGAGTCTGAAGTTGCTGTTGAACTATGATGCCACAGCCCTCTACCAGGGGCAACAAAGTCTCAAAAAAAAAAAAGAAAGAAAGAAAGAAAGTAGCTATTCTCATTGAGCACATTTTCTATGAAGGTATATAATCATTTATAAGTTAAGACTTTGGCACTTAAGATATTAAACTTTATGAAAGTAATTATTAAAATATAATAAACCCCCATCCTCAACTTTATATTGGCCTTTTTTTTTTTTTTTTTAATGACAGAGTCTCACTTTGTCGCCCTCAGTAGAGTGCCATGACATTTACAGGCATGAGCCACCTTGCCCGGCCCTTTACATTGGTCTTAATTCTTTTCAGAGTATGAAGCCTTGAATCTGAGGATGAGAAGCACACAATCACACCCATCACAGTCAACTTCTTGAAGTTGTCTAGATATCTGTTTTGGACATTTGGGTTTAATGGGTTGAAAGCAACTGCATTATACTATATTTATAAATAACCAGAAAATTTTATTTGGAGTAGTGATTAAGCAGCAGCTTTTTATGGAGATTGAAAAAGGAAGCATAAGAAGTATGACATAATAGCCACTACTTAAGAAATAATAAATAGTTTAATAAAATCTTCCATGGAAACTTATTGAAAAAGAGGTAAAATTAGTTTAACATTTGACAGAGATGAAAAAAACAGGAATATGGCTTAATAACTAGATCTTGGATTAGTATACTTTGTAGTTATAAATGTTAATTTTTTCAAAGCACACATACTAACTACAAGTGAACCAAACGTCATCCATTACTTTTTTATGTGCTTAAAAATGAAAACAGTTAAGATACTTATGATTCCTTCCTAAAAATGCCTAACAACTTCAAAGTATCTTAACTATATCAGAGGATCCAACTCCTACCTGGCTATTTACATTCATCAATATATAAGTAACCATGACAACAGAATTAAAAATTCTGTTTAAAAAAGATGATTGTGCTTCCTGAGTTTTACTTCAGGTCAAATTCCTGTTCTCAGTAATACCTAGTTGACCTTCCTCTTTCAAGGTAGTAAAAACCAAAGGTATTAAATTAGTATCTAAAACCAAAGTAATAGGTTTATCTACAAAACTAGGTGTTGCACCCTTACACATGGCAGCAAAGATAATATAAAATGTACTGAGACACCAATGCCATTGTGAACATATATTTTTCCAAACAAAAAACTTAAGAGTCAATTTTTAATTGACTAATTCACCATCAGGCAGATGTTCAAATGCTGAATTTCAAACTCCATATACTACCTTACCTCTCCTGAGAGATAAGCAGTTATACAACATTAAAATACATTAAGTTAAAAAGCCAAACAAAAGAAAATAAAGCCTTGGTTTAGGGCTTACACACAAAGCAGATATGAACTTACTCACCAACAGACACTGAGTGATACTGAATGAACATTAGGGCCCAAAGGAAGCAAGAGAAGACCCTTAGAGCCAGTTGTGTTCATGGGAACTTTTCTTAACCTCATTGCTCCCAGGCCTCACATGCCTTATCCTCCACAAAATCTATTAACACAAACTAAGACCAAGAAATTCTCAACTAATTATTAGCAAAATGCACTTTGGCTTACTGAGAAAAAGTTCAACATATATGCTACAGAACCTAGGCACTAAAAAACAAACAAAAAAACCCAAATCTTATGGCTACAGATCAAAAATTCTTATTAATAAAACAAAGATTTGTTATTTAATATGGAAACTTCCCAATATATCCTAAGGTATCCTCACAAGGCTAGTATTGAAAAACAGTTATAACTGTGAATTTATCTGACTTTAAGACAGCCTATGACAGAAAAAAACCTCTAATTCTTAAAGTCAACTATTTTCTACCTTATCTGCCATTACCATCAAGATTATTGTATCTTGATGTCGGACTGGAAAAAATGATACTTACAGGATTCAACAAAATAAACCCAACCAAAAAAAGGAAATTAGCTAATATTTAAAGCAGTAGCCTCAACAAATATGTGATTCATTTCCTTTATTGTTCACAGTATAGTCTGGTTTTCTTTTTTGGCCCTTATAAATACTAGCGGGAATTTCTAAAGCACTTGTTTCTTATCCTAAGTTTTCTCTGTTAATACAATGAACACTAAATCATAGCACACATGCTACTAGCATCACGTAAGCCACTGCTCTGACACATCTCAGAATCTGCTTTCGCCTCTGAGAGCTGGTATTGCTTTTTTACTAATTCAACAAATACTCATTTTTGCTTATGATGCCACTGATCTCATCCTCGAACAAAACTATTCACAAGGTAGTGGCTCTCTGAGGCCTACCTCTGTTCTCTGTTATACATTAATCTGAATGTATAAAAACACAAAAGGGGAACATCTGAGTTGAACTTCCTAATAGTTACAGTTTGTAATGGTTTGGAATGGTTGATCTGGAGGTTTAATTAAGGGCCAACTCAGCACACTTATGTGTTCACTAGATACCTCTGGATATCACCAGGACAACCTCAGTACAAATTTCTCTCAATCTCAATCAGCTCTACCAATGAAAAACCAATGAAAACACATTTTTTAGGATTTGTTTCACAATAAAATAGTACAATTCTTATATAGTCAAGTTATGAACCCCACCATCAAAGTTTTAAAGCAAAAACAAAAAAGTCAGCTAAATTTTGAAGCTAAGCTCATGGTTTAAAGCTTAAAAGAAATGAAAATAACATAAAATGAGAACTAAAGAGTGGGTCCAACATGCAATGATACTGTCACCACTGCTTTGTTAGCATGACAACTGAATCCATTTCTATGAGAAAATATACATGCATACCACCATTCCTCTGTTTAATACATACATATCTCATATAAATACGTCCTCATAGAAAACACTGATTTTACATTATATTGTCTTTTTGACAACAATTTTGCACTGAATAATAACAAGTTACAACTCTGTTGTATACCTTAAATTCTAAGACAGTGTATAATAGATGTTTACACAGAGAACTAGAGTAAGGTGCAACAGCACTTCCAGAAAAACTGGGAAACAATGTTCAAAGTTAAAAAGGATTTTATAACCACGCTGCACGGACACGAGGCGGTTTAGGTCTCAGCGGGCGGCCACTGGATGTGTCAAGAACTGACCGCTCACTCTTACGGCTGAGACCACTGGTGGCACTGGACGTCCTGGAAGCGCCTCCTGAAAGTATACATAGAAGAAGTGCTTGAATTATTTAAGCTAATTATGTAGATCATCATCTGAGAAAATTCCTCTCCTAATTTCAAGTCCAGACTAGTTTTTCTTCCATATCCTATGTGTGTCTGATAGTCCAATGCAATGATTCTCAACTGCAAATGTACTTTGGAATTCCCTGTGGACCTTAAAAATATAACAAACATGCTCAGATTCCACTGTTGGAGATTTTGATTCACTAGGGAATAAATGTTTCTGAAAGCTTCTCTAATAGGCCTGGTGTGGTGGCTCATACCTGTGATCCCAGCACTCTGGGAGGCCAAGGCAGGAAGATTGCTTGAGCTCAGGAGTTCCAGACCAGCCTGAGCAAGAGCAAGACTCTGTCTCTACTAAAAACTGAACACTAGCCAGGAGTGGTGGTGGGTACCTGTAGTCCCAGCTGCTTGGGAGGCTGAGGCAAGAGGATTGCTTGAGCCCAGGAGTTTGAAGTTGCTGCTAGCTAGGCTGACACCACAGTGCTCTACCTAGGGCAACTGAGTGAGACTCTGTTTCCCACCCCCCACACCCCCCAAAAAGCTTCTCCAATAATTCAGGTGAACAATAAATACACTTTTATACTTGTACAATCATTTATACAGGGTGGCCATAAAGTTAATGTGCAATGTAAACCAGTTTAAACCAATTTAAATTGCACATGAACTTTATGGCCAGCCACCCTGTATATTTATTTACTCACCAGATAATTTACTACATTTAAGGCACGAGACTAAGTATGACTTATTGGAACAAGACCCTTCTCTTAGTCATATGGCAAGGAAGCAATGTTTTTAGAATGAATAAATGGAATTACTAGTCATTTGACATGAGCAGTGGGAAGTTGTGGCTCTAACTTCCTTTAGTATTAAGTATTAGATTCTTATTTTTACAGACTTCTGAACACACACATGAAGTAAGTGCATAGACTTCCGTACAGGCAAGTTTGTAGCCCTTCAAAATGCTGCACACCCTAGCACTGCATGGTCACTCCATTCCCATATTCTTTGGCTAGGCCTGTAACTGGTCATACACATGTATCAGGCATAGAAAAGTACTGTATTTGGACTGTATAGTTTGCTCATTTTTGTTTTAAAGGAAAAAAAGGACATATAAATGCTGGAAGATATTAGCAATAATTCTTAACTGGCCAGAGGGAATGTTTAAGCAACTTGCAAACAGCACATTTATTCATTCCTTCATTTAATAAACATGTACACATTGAAATTAAAATTTTCTTTTCAATTACATAAAAAACTACCAATATTTCAATTTGTTTTATCTCCTGGTTTCTTTCCTGGGTTGTAAACGAAACCTGAAATTATGTGAACTAACACAAATAAAACAAAACATGCCAGTGAACAGAACGCATTCCAGAAGTGAGCATTTTTCAGCTCTACCCTAAGAAGTGGGTACATTCAGTTAGCATTTTTCAGCTCTACATTTTAAAAAAAGTTACAAGATACAGATAAACAACAAAACAATTTTGAATATGCTTACTTAATGGGCTATACTGGCTAAGAGTGGCTCTCATTTGTCTTGCTGGTGATGACGGGTTGAGATAACCCATGTTGCGATGGTAGTCCATCAGCTGTTCTGAGCGCTTCATACCAACTGTTGGTTTTACTGCTTCAAGCCTTTTTAATAAAGCCTTCATTAAAAACAATCAATTTGAAAGTCAAAGTTAAACAGCAATAGCATTTAACAGATGAATGGATAAGCAAAATGTGGTACATACCTGCAATGGAATATGATTCAGTCATAAAAAGCAATGACTTTGTTTTTTTTAAATAGAGTGTCACTTTGTCACCCTTGGTACAGTGCCACAGCATCATAACTCATAGCAACCTCAGACTCCTGGGAAATTATCTTGCCTTAGCCTACCAAAGTAGCTGGGACTACAGGCACCCGCCACAATGCCCGGCTATTTTTAGAGATGGGGGGGGTCTTGCTCTGGCTCAGGCTAGTCTTGAACCTGTGAACTCAGGTAATCCACCTGCCTCAGCCTCTCAAGTGCTGGGATTACAGGTGTGAGCCACCGTGCCCGGCCAGCAATGAAGTTTTAATACATGCTATAACATGGACAGACCTTCAAAATACCATGTTAAGTGAAATAAACCAGACTCAAAGAAATAAATAATGTATGATTCCACTGATATGAAATATACAGAATAGCCAAATTCATAGAGACAGAAGATTAGAGACTACTGTGGTGAAGTAAAAGGAGAATAGAGAGTCCTGTCCGTACACACAGTTTCTGTAAAGAGTGATGAAAACATTTTAGAAGGGCCGGACACTGTAGCTCACTCCTAATAGTCTGGGAGGGTGAGGCAGGAGGATCCCTTGAATTCAGAGTTTGAGACTGGCCTGAGCAAGAGTGAGACCCAGTGTCTAAAAATAGCCAGGCATTGTGCCAGGAGCCTACAGTCCCAGCTACTCGGGAAGCAGAGGCAGGATGATCACTTGAGCCCAGGAGTTTGAGGTTACTGTGAGCAATGATGCCACAGCACTCTACCTAGGATGACAGAGTGAGACTCTGTCTCTAAACAACAACAACAAAAAATGTTTTAGAAGAAGATAGTGGTGATGAGGCCAGGCACAGTAGCTCATGCCTGGAATCCCAGCACTCTGGGAGGCCGAGGTGGGTGGATTGCCTGTGAGACCAACTTGAGCCAGAGTGAGACACTGTCTCTAAAAATAGCTGGGCCTTGTGGCTGCATCTGTAGTCCCAGCTTCTCAGGAGGCTAAGGCAAGAAAATCACTTTAGCCCAAGAGTTTGAGGTTGCTGTGAGCTATGACACCATAGCACTCTACTGAGGGTGACAAAGTAAAACTGTCTCAAAAATAGAAAAAAAAATAAAAAGAAGAAGATGATGATAGTGGTGATGGTTAGACAACATTGTGAGTATACTTAATGCCACTGACTTGTACACTAAAAATGGTTAAAATGGCAAAATTTATATCATATGTTATTTTACTACAACTTAAAAAAATTAACAAAAACCATTGAAATGTATGCTTTAAATGGGTATGATATATGAATTATATTTCAATAAAGCTGTAAAACAACAACAACAACAAAAACCCCGAAGACGGAGACCTTACATTTGATTTGGGCCCTGCTGCCTAGAGGCTGGTTGACCTCGAACAAGTCCTGTGTCCCACCCAGGTCTCATTTTCTCTTCCATAGCAACTGTAACTATGTTGTAAGGTTGCTATGATGATGATATGACCCCACACTTGTGAAATAGTATGCAAGATGTAACTGTTTATTAAATAAAGATAGGTTCTAATGCTAGCATGGGAAAGTGAAAACAAAAAATAAACCCAAATTTCAAATTTTCTTTTTCCCCCCAAATTTTCATATAACAGGAATGAATCTCGAATACTGCTAAGGTGATATGCAGACTCTACCACGTCATCTACCACCCACTGACCTCATTTCAACTTGCTCTGTCATCTATCCCTCACCACATGCAGGGTAACCCTCCTGTTTAAGACTTTACTATTTTTGGTAAATATACTACCCCAGTTCCCCAACTCTTAGGGTTTGTAATGGTAATAAATTTACAACAGAGTTGTTACAAGCTCAGGTAAGTACAGGGTTAAACAGACTACACTGGTGATAAAACATGATAAGGGTTAATTCTGGGAACAGTCTTAATAATTTTTTTTTTTTTTGCAGTTTTTGGCTGGGGCTGAGTTTGAACCTGCCCCTCTAGCATATAGGGCTGGTGCCCTACTCCTTTGAGCCACAGGCACTGCCCAGTCTTAATAATTTTAATAGCTTTATAAATTACTTTAGCTCCAAATTTATATGCTCATGAAGGGTCTTCTTTTAGTTAAGAGATTAAGAGACTAGGTGGCCAGGAGTGTTGGCTGATGCCTACAATCCCAGGACTCTGGCAAGCTGAGGCAGGTGTACTGCTTGACTCAGGAGTTCTAGGCTAGCCTGAGCAAGAACAAAACCCCGTTTCTACTAAAAATAGGAAAACTAGGCAGGATGGTGGTGCGTGCCTGTAGTCCCAGTTATTTGGGAGGTTGAGGCAGGAGAATTGCTGGAGTTTGAGAATGCTGTGAGCCATGACGCCATGACACTCTACCCAGCATGACAGAGGTAGACTAAGTCTCAAAAATAAAATAAATAAATAAGAGACTACCTGGTTCTTATGTCAAAATCTTGGCTCAGCCACTTACTTGGCAGCTGTGTGCCCCTGGGCTAAGTAAAGCCCTCTGGGCCTCAGTTTCTTCATCTGCAGGATGTGGGGGAGAAACAGTATCTATTTCAAAATATTATAAGCATTTAATAAACTAAAGCACTTAGAACAATGGCTAGTATTTAGTAAGAGCTCAGAAAATATCAGCAATTATTTATGAGCTGAATTTTATGAAGAAAATATGGTATGATTGTTTTAAATGTGAAGATTTTCAAAAATTCCCATATATATTCTTTTACAATATGAAAGTATAATTATAAATCTGTAACAATCAATGTTTCATGCATTCAAGTAATAAGACTACCAATATGATCTATTCAGATGTATTCATTTTTTTAAGATAAATATATAATTTATTTTTGTTTTCCAGGATACAATAAAGTATAAGAGAGTTTAGCTAGTGACTGAATACTTCACAGAAGTATTTCAGTGCATCTGACCTTTCGGTATCACTTCTTGTTTTACTATGGTAAATTAACTAATCAAGTAAAATAAATAATACAGCTCTCAGTGTTTTGCTATAATGATCAATTAATATATAGTTTGCTGGATAAAAACCTTTTTTTTTTTCAGACAAAGTCTCACTCTGTCTCCCTGACTAGAGCGCCCTGGTGTCATAGTTCACAGCAACCTCAAACTCTTGAGCTGAAGCAATTATCCTGCTTCAGCTTCCCAAGTAGCTGAGACTACAGGCGCCTGACATAATGCCCAGCTAATTTTGTAGAGATGGGGTCTTGCTCTTGCTCAGGCTTTTCTGGAACTTCTAAGCTCAACTAATCTACCTGCCTTAGCCATCTGGAGTTCTGGGATTATAGATGTCAGCCACTATACTGGGCCAATAAAAAACATTTTGTATATTCTAGACTCATAGCTTATCACGTATTGCATGCTGTATATATCTCTACCTACTGTTATGTAGTTAAGTTGAAAAGGTGGCTGTATTTAAGTCTTCTGTAAGTTGGACTTACAAATCAGTGCAAATGCATTGTCTTTGATGACTAAAATGTTTCAGTTACTCACCAAATTTTCTCTCTCGATCCTTTGCTGCTCCCTCTGTCTGTTGAGAGCACTATGGTACAACTTAGGGGGGTGGTGCCATCTAGTAACTGTACTTCTGCTTCCTGGTTTCTCAGCCTGTCTCGACAGTTCTTTCAAAAGCCTCTGATTTTCTCGGTCAATCTGTCTTACCTCTTCTTTTGTGAAAGAGTAGTTTTTCCTGGGTACTACTAATTGCTGTTCAAAGTGATGTTTTTGTGGTTCTTTTTTATCTAATTGCAGAAAAGCTACAAAGTGAATAATAAAAGAGAAAATGGCTTAACAAAGTATATGTCATGTACATGCTCTAGCCTTTAAAACACAAACTGTATTAATTTATGAATAGGTATGTATAAAATAAGGCTAATGACATACAGATTACAATTGTGTAGACAAAAACTGGAGGTAAATTAGGGTTTTTTATGCTTTTTTTTTTT